ATATATTTACTGAGAAAAATGGTGACGTGTTCAATACTTATTTTACCTTCTGTATGGTTAGTTGTGTATATTTGAGTTTTGGGCCAAAGTTTTGTCCTGAGTTTACCTGCTCTAGCTGTTCATGTCCTCCTGACTCTGTCCAGGTGTCGAACCTCTACCTGTACGACAGCGTGCTGATGCTGGCTAACGCCTTCTACAGGAAGCTGGAGGACAGGAAGTGGCACAGCATGGCAAGTCTGAACTGCATCAGAAAGTCCACCAAACCGTGGAACGGAGGCTGGTCGATGCTGGAGACCATTCAGAAGGTAAAACATCCCTGTTCCAACACCTCCCTCTGTTTCGCTCTGATGAAATATTCATGTTCAGGTTTTTAAGTCAGTTTAAGGCTTAAAGCTGCTCATCAATATAATCTGAGTGTTTTTAAGAGACAACAGTCTGAGCTGGCTCAGTTTGTCAAAGGTTACACTCTCAGATTCAGCCCAATTAAAAGAACAGACTTTATATTTTCTGTTATCAGTTTTTCACATGAAGAAATGTCAGAGATCACAGGAGCAGGACGACATAAACTCCTGTTAGAAGAAGATAAATCAAACATGAAGTTTTGCAGGTCGAACGTCATTCAGTTGGGACTCTGATGGTCTAATTGGTAAAAGTTGTTTTCAGCTTCCTGATGAGTCCCTCAGAGGATGAATYGTTGTGCTTTATTAAAAAAACATCCATTTGTGTCTTTGACTGGTGTCAGAGTAACAACCACAGGGCTCATTAGTGATCCGTTTCCTGTCTGAACGGCTTGTGAGGAAAACTCAGAGGAGAATATTCAGACAGTCACAGGTTTAATAATGGATCATGTTTTTGAATATTGTTAAATAAATCTGCGCTTAGGTGAGACTGAGCTGATTGATGGGACGTTGATCATGGACCAGTCAGCAGCAGCATCTGATCAATATGAGATCCATGATGTGATGTAAATGTAACATTTTCTTCCTAAAATTAATCACTGCAATAAAATAACTTTGTCTGTTTTTGTCACTTTTACAGTGGATTGCATCAACTCTGTTACATACAGAAGGGAAACTTCACCAAAGTGAAACATAAATCTGTGGATCTGTGTTTGATTACTCTGCCTGGCTTTCTCAAGGACCAGGATGTGACACAAAAATCTGAATTATGGAACTGAAAGTGAAAGTAGTCAAACTGAATTTTTAATAAACCAAAATACAGTTTCAAAGCAAATTAATTCAGTTTCAATTTAGTGAAATTCATTTTCAAACCAATGCATTCAATTTCAAATTCTGCACATATAGATTCAATCTGAGCAATTCAGATTCAATTCCTGCTGGCACAAGATTTATCCCATACCAAAGCAGTAAAAACCACAGTTAGCTCTCAGGTACTTTTAACCTCCAGGTGTGAAGCTTTGCTCCATGTTTCCTGTCTGACCTCTGATCCAACATGGCTGCCGGAGAGAACAACAGGTTGTTTTGCTGCATTCACCAGTCATAAACCTCTGCTGCATGAATATTTACTGCACTTCCAGAGGAGCGGCGGGCGAAGGGACGAGCGGAGGGAGTCGATCACGAAGCCCAACACGTTAAAACGTGATCACTCTCCAGGCGACCTTTGTCTCTGACAGAGGATCGTTTGGGTTTCTGYTCGCTCTGACGGCCGTCTTCAGTCTTACTTTGCATCAGACACAACGTGCCGTGTCACCAGCTGACATTTCACCCGTGGCCTTTGAGCTGAACTCAGCTATCGAGGCTCTGATGGGGGTCTCAGGGCTGGGAGTTCTACCGAACGCCCAATAAGAGAACAGAACTGGTTGATCTTTAACTGATCAGTGCTGATCAAAGAGACCGGCTGAAGGAGAGGATTTACTCACTACAGACAGAATTCCTTCAAGTCCTGCAGACATTTATGCTGGAGGTTTAACTAAAAGTTAAAGATGTTTTGATCAAATCCTATAAATTATATTAATGGTTACCATTTGGGGGTGTCACGATACAGATTTTTCTCAAACTAAGTATGAGTACTTCAGTTTGGTACTCGCTCATACAGAGTACTTACTGATTTAGAGCCTATGTATGTATGTATATACACACACACACA